CCCCGTTTAAATATTTTTAATATTTAGATATGAAATCTCTTTCTGGCTGGGGGAACAAAAGCTTCCACTTTACTGCTGTATATGATTCTGCCACCCTGCAACGTTTGTAATTTAATGTAATATGTGTGTTATTTTTGTCTCTGCTACTCAGTTGCTACCTTCCCAATTACCATACCAATTACTTACAACTTGACAGATCTTGATTGCTTATAACCCGATAGCTCTTTGAATTCACAAACCACAAGAGAGCATCAATAAAGTTACAATCCTACGCACATTTACTTGGGAGTAAGTCCCAATAACAATTACCTCTCAGGAAACATGCCCCAAAATGGCTTACAGGTTTATTCACAATAATGGTGAATTAAGGCACACTTTTTGTTTGCAAACTGCAGTTCTAAAGTTAGGAATTATCTGACTGCTGATCAAAATTTTGCACATTGTTTCTAAAAATCTAGCATACCAAGGAAGAGATAAAAACTCTCCACTATTGTCTTTTTTTTCTCCATAGAATAAAAAAAAATGCTATTGAAACTAGTCTAGCCAGGAGGAGGGATGAGTGGACACAGAAGTTTATTTCCCCTCCTCACTGCCCTCATATTTTTGCTGAAACGTTACAGAAAAATATCTGTGTATAGTAGGGTTTTTAAAAAAATTCAGAGAGGATGTAAAACTGGTTCAACATATTTTTCACATGTAGCCAATTTATAACAACATGATAGTAGATCTACACAGCAGCTTTGCTTCCTGGACTTCTGATAAGCCAAAAGAAAAGCAGCAGCTATTCAGACGTATCTACTCGAGAAATTTAATCTTCATTATAAAGGTAGTTCTCAACTTATGTCCATTTTTTAAAAACTATTCAATTATAGTGACCAGTCTTAGCAGTAATGACCATTGCAGTACAAGTAGTCCTCAACTTATGACCACAATTAAGCCCAAAACTTATATTGCTAAGTGAGAAATTTGTTTGCCCGGTTTTATGATTTTTCTTGCCGCATTTGTTAAATGAATCACNTCAGCAGCTCTTGCCTTTTTCCTTTTACATTTTTTTTCCTTTTCATGACGACAGTGGTGAGGCTCTGCTTCCCCTGACTGCAGGTCCCTGCTACACCCGTGAAAATATATATAATTAACTCTTTTAATGTAACAAAACAGCAAACCTTTTTCCCCCTTCTGTAAGTGGTTGGATTCATAAAAGGAGACTGGTGAAGAAGTTACCATGTGAACACAAAACACACAGAAAAAAATAATAATCTTATTTTCCTGACGAAACTTTTTCTAATATTTTCTTGGTTCTGTTTGAGTTCAATACTCAGATTTAGCTCGTCTCCTAATCAATATAAAATGTTTAAATCAGGAGTTTAGTTTTTGGTCTTAGCAATTAAAATGCAGACATAAATTAACTGTTGATAATTCGCATTAGAACAAATACGGCTAACTCGGATCTAGAAAACATGTGCAGACTTGAGTTCTCCAAAATTCTAATTCAGAAAAAAAATGACAACTGTTAAAAATAAAAACAAAAGATGAAGGGGGAGAATGATGACAGTAATTTAAAAAATGGATGAAATCCAACACCTTGAATCTACATTCGTCTATGGCTTTAACATAACGTGGAAGTAGGCTGTGAACATGCAAATTAGATTGTATCAGATGCCTTGATAGACCCAGGTTCTTCTCAGAAAAAAACCCGTATATCGCCAGCCATGCCAGAAGCATATCTCTTTCTTTCAGTCTCAAATCTTCTCCCCAGAGTCTTAATTACTGGTTTCTAATTGGCTAGAGATGTAAATTGTGATTGTCTTAGCAAGCTCATTATTACATTCAAGAATCCAAGCATCACAGTCCCAAAAACAGGCTAAAGAGATTGGTTTCCAGAATTGGAATCCAGGCAATTGTAAAATGCTAAATTCTCTTAATGTTGTGAATAAACTATGAAAACTAGATCATTGTTAGAGACTTCTCTCAACCCTTTTCTTTGTCAGAAATAGATTACCCTTTACCCCTATTTTCTATGGCTCAAGTTAATATGCACACTCTTCTATGGCAAAGGTCTGCAAGGATGCCAAAATTATGTCGCACGGAGTGTGTGTGTGTGAGAGAGAGGCTGAACAGAATGTGGAAGAGGTATAGAACCTGCCCCAAAAATATCAGCCTCCATTTTTTATTCTTTAAAAGTAAGCTTTTATTTCTATGATCATACATACGCAAGACCCAAAGGAATAAAGGAACACCCCCCCCCAATATGTGCTATTGCCTGTCACATAACTGAATCAATACAAAACAATTACCTTAAGAACATGTCAGAGCATGTTCAAATTTCTTTCAAATTGAGGCTCTGTTCACTTTGATGGGAAAAAAACAAGATGAAGAAAAAAGACAAAATATAGCGCTGATAAGACATTTAAACAAGATCCTCAATAAATATCGGTTCCATTATTATTATTTTTACAAAAATATGAAGGATTACATCAACGTGGCTGTATTTCAAACACTGAAGCTTCTGGATAGGTTTTTGTTTAGGGATTAGGAACAATCCTTATGATTTTCAGTAGTTACACTGGGGTGTTTGAGAGAGTATTAAATAGTTTACCTCTAGCGTGTGCACCCCTGAAATAGGGGCATTCTATTGAACCTTCAAAAGCAAACCAATACATGTATCTCTAAACCAAATTACAAAGGGGTTATGCACTTCCATAACTTACTTGTTTTTGAAGACAAAGTTATGTTTCAAATTGTGTTAAGAGGTCTCTTATTTCTGGAGTCAAATGTTCCACGGCCTTCGCAGCTTCCGTAATAGCTTTCCGATACATCCCTTTCTTCTTACGGTTAAATCGTAGTTTGAAATATTCAGAAAAAGGGGACAGTTTTGATAGCGACAAGAAAGAAGTTGTTGGAGAACCAAACCATGAAACTTTTGCTTCCTGCCAGGAAGGGTCTCCATTTTCCTTTTGGCCAAGATTTATGTCAAGAACACGGGCGGGCCACCAAGGAAAGCCATGGATTTTGCCCCAGACAACGTCGCCAACTGAAACAGTCCTTCCATCTTCAGTCACACATTTGGAGACACTTTGGGTGTGTAATCTAACGGTCAGTGGGGGCACAATTTTACGGTCATCTTTAGAAGATGAGGAGACAGAGCCGTCATCCCCAGGTAAAAAGTCACATATTTCTGGCGATGCCATTTCTGAGCTGGAAGATTTAGATTCATCGAGGCTATCATTGCTGCACATGGATAAGCTGGAAGAGTCTGCTTTCCGTTTGCGGTAATTCATGAGAAAAGCCAGGTTATCGTGTCCATCTTTGCCTTGAGGAAACCTTTTGAAGTCGTCATCCTCACAGGAGCTCCCTGAGGACATCTCAGCTAGGCTCCGTTCTGCAGAATCTCTGTAGAAAGCAGCTGCCGCCGCACCACCAGCAACGGGCTCCCCACTGCTGGGAAGAACATTCATCTCATCGATAAGTTCGGCTTTGTAAATGGAAACATTATCCCCCTCGCTGAGCCGGTGGGGCTTCAGACGGATTTTGGGCGGGGGCACTTCTGCACTGGAATGGACGGGCCTAGTTAACTTTAGCTTTGGAATGGAAGCATGGGGCCCACCGGATTGCTTGTCCATAAAACACTTGCTTTCCTGACCTTGTTCTGAGTCTTGGGCCTCATCTTGGTCGTCCCCACCATTCTGGAGAAGTCGCTGAGGGCAAAATGGCTTCCCGGAACCATGAATGCGGGAGGGGATTTTCACAACTTCACCTTTTCCCTGAGGGGTGCTGTAAGATATTTTTATAACTGGAGTCCTTTGCAGCTGTTCCCGGGAAAACTTTTCATCCTCCCGCCTTTCTCTCTTGCTTTTTCTCTCGATATATTCAGATTCGCTGTGTCTTTTCTGCTCCTTATCTTGGATGCTCAGCTTCCTCTGGGCTTTTGCATTTTGGTGGGCTTTGATACCCTCCTCTGGATTCAGGGTGTTCTTGCATTTCTCACAAAGCACCTGCCTGGGCCTCAGCCGAATGGTGCTCATGATGAGCCTCCCGGGGTCTCTGTTCCGGGACAAGCGCCTCTTTGTCCTTTTTATGGTTTTCGGAGGTGGCTGAGGCACCCACTGATTATACGTGTGCCGTAGCCATAATGGAGGGGGGAAGGGGGCTCCTTCAAAATAGGGAGGGTAAGGAGGAACGCTGCCGGTTGGCGGTGGAGGCAAGAGGGGTGGGACTTGCTCCTCTCTGTTGGCCTTGGTGGGTTTTCCTCCTGAACACCACTGGTCAGCCCCCAGGTCTATGGGTGGCCTCTCTTCAGCTTTCCCATTAGTGCAACTTTTGTTAAGAGGATCCTCTGTCTTTGGTAAGGAAGCTGGTGGGACACAAAACAGTCCAGACCTAGATCGTTGGAGAAAGAAGGGAAGGGAAGAAAGTGCAACGTCAGAATAGATTGAACTATACTTCCCATTTGAGATTATTCAGCACATAACAAAGGTCAACATTAAACTTCTACAATTACACCGCAGAAGTCAGATGTTCATTCCACAACCCTGAAAAAGCTTCATTTCCAATTTCAAAGTCCAGCATGTGAGAAATTGGACTGCGGTTCATGAAGTTTAATACCACAAGAATGTTTGTAAGACAATATATTGTTTGACTGATTGAGTAATTAATAAATGTATTACTCTTTAAGATGCCACAAGGCTATTGTATAACAGGGTTTTCTGAAAAATGTGAGTTGCCTGATATGTTTTAAAAAGAACTTAATGCTTAATGGGAGTAGAAGGTAATCTATTTATTTAAAATGAATTTTGTCACTGCAATAGCCCAATATCTATGCCGTAGCATTTCTATTCCCCTCCCTCCCTCTGCTAGCCAATCTCGCCTTGGCAGGTAGAAATTTGCAATTTATGACTACCAGGCTACTGATTAAATATACAAGTTGCCTATTTTATATACAGGTATTCAAACAAATATATGAAAATATACAATAGAGCAAGCAAGCATTATGATGTCTTAGAGCAGACGAATGGATTACTGGAGGAAACATTTCCAGGATATTAGCTAGCTGCATCAGAAAAAAGTGGTTGCTAACCAGAACGTACACTATATAGGTAGTCCTCAACTTCATTTAGTAACTGTTCAACGGCACTGAAAACACGGACTTATGTCCATTTTCCACACTTACAGGACCATTGCAGCATCCCCCCCATGGTCCCATGATTTACATTCATATACTTGACAACTGATTGGCATTCATGATGGTTGCAGCGTCCCAAGGCCATGCCCTTCGTACAAGCACAGAGAATGGGAAAGCCAGATTCACTTAATAACAGCGTTACTAATTTAACAACTGCAGTGACTCACTTAACAAATATGGCAAGAAGTCATAAATTAGGCAAAATTCACCTAGCTAATTTCTCACCTAGCAACATACATTTTCGGCTCAATTGTGGCCGCAAGTGAAGGACTTACCCATAGCAAACGTCTGTAGCTCTTATCGTTGCTTATCAAGTTCTATTATTTAAAAAAAAAACAGCTATTTCCCCATCATAAAACTCAAATGCTGCTGAAATGTGTTGCTTTTATATCGGGCTAAACAAAGATGAACAATTTTGAGGCAGCCTAGAAAGAAGATTTGAACAAAACTCCAGTCTACTCTTCTGTTCAAAGGCCAATGACTTCCATCATGTCCCTTTCCCTACTTGTGACTGTGATCATCCCTTGTGCCTTCTTTTTTTAATAAAGATTTTTTAATTTTTAAACAAATAAAAACATAAAACACATACAACCTTCTTCCATTTCATATAGCCTGTCATTTGGTTACAAGATTTTGTGCATCCTTTCCATGGCCACCGCTTACAATTATGTATCGAATCACAAATTGTTCATTAGATAAACATAAGTACATTTTTGTTATATGTCAATTTTTCAACTATAATNTCAGAAGGTCGCAAAAGCCGATCACATGACTCTGGGGACACTGCAACCGTCATAAACGTGAATCAGTTGTCAAGTGTCTGAATGTGAATCAGGTGACCCTGGGGATGCTGCAATGGTCATAACTATGAAAAATGGTCGTAGGTCGTTTTTTAGAGTGCCGTTGGAACTTCGAATGGTCATTAAGTAGACTGTTGTAAGTAGAGTGCTCCCAATTTCTCTGCAGTCCCTGCAGGATAGAAATTTTGGCACTTGGTAGCATCCGTGTATTCACAATCACTGCAACATCCTGGGGTTGTTGGGTCTGTAGAGATTCTCAGTCATCCAGGCCGTGGTTGCCTCAAAGGCAACTGGACTTCCTTAAGTTTTCTCTTTGGAAGACGTTCTGCTTCTCATCCAAGAAGCTCCTTTGGGACGACCCTGGAGGACTGAGGAATCTCTACAGACGTTTGGCTATACAATTTGGGATGAAGACCCTTGGAATGGTGTGGGATCTCCAGAGGGAGAAAACTGCAGCACTACAGGAACCAAGAGCACTCTGCTCAGGAGACCCCTCAGGAGGACACAGGTAAGTCCACAAGTGGCCTCAAGGACCCTCTAAAAGGATGCAAATGACCAGCTGTCTGCAAGGAGTGTAAAATCCTTCCATTCCCTTCTACCCTGTCAGAGCTGAAGGAGCTTCTTGGATTAGGAAAGGAAAAAAACAAGAACAAGGTCCGGTTGCCTTCTGAGAAAGCACCTTTGGGAGATCCTGGGCTCATGTGGTCACCATCTGCAACCTTCTCATCTGGCTTCTGACAAGCAAAGCCAACGGGGGAAGCTGGATTTGCTTAACAATCATGGGATTAACTATGGTGGTTCACTTAACAACTGTGGCAAAATAGGTCATAAAATCAGGGATGACTTGCTCAAGGATGGCCTCACTTAGCTATGAAAGTTCCAGTCCCAGCTGTGGTTATAAGTTGAGGACTACCTGAAGTTGGAAGAAAGGGAGAAGCAGAAATCTCTCTGGCAGACAACCAAATTCTGGGTTTTTACTCTCTTCATCAATGCACGTGTGAAAGGAGAACTTGCTGCTCCCATAGAACCAGTTTTATTGTCATCAAGACAGTCACCACAAATACAGGTCATCCTCGACTTACAACAGTTCATTTAGTGACCATTCAAAGTTACAGCGGCACTGGAAGAAGTGACCATTTTTCAGGGTTACAAACTTTTAAGCGATCATGGGATCAAAATCCTGATCTATGACCTCTGCGGTGTCCCAGGGCCGTGTGTGATCCCCTTTTGCGACCTCCTGACAAGCAAAGTCAATGGGGAAGCCAGATCCACCTAACAACCACGTTCTCAACAACTGCCATGCTTCACTTAACAAATGTGACGAGGTTGTAAAATGGGGAAAAATTCACTTGACAAATGTCTTATTTAGTAACAAATTTTGGAGTCAATCATGGCTGTAAGTTGAGGACTACTTGTAAAAGCTGACAAGGGAGGAGACTTAGTTGACAAGGGATACCGAAAAATATATAAGTAGAATTTCATTTCATTCTTAATCAGCATTGAAATATTGCAAGACAGCCAGAAATGGAATTTCACCACCTGGGAAAGTAACATCAGATGCAAATTTCTCTACCAGGAGAGACTCAGAATGGCTGGAAACCGGAAGGCCTCCTTTAAGGCCTCCTCAGAAAGCTCCCTTCTAATGTGAGCTACTATTGGTTAAATGCAATTTAAACATTTCTGTGCATAATTAAATCGCTTGGAAGACAAAAGGCCTCTCTTTTGGAATCAACAGCATCATTGGAAGACATTCAAACAGTCCTTGACTTACAACAGTTCATTTAGTGACCGCTCAGTTACAATAGCACTGAAAAACCTGACTTGTGACCATTTTTCATAGCCGCAACCTTTGCAGCTTCGCCAAATGCCCAGGTGATCAAAATCTATAGATGCTTGGCAACCGGTTCATGTTTACGGCCGTTATTGCTGTGTCCTGGGGGGGTCACATGATCCCTTTTTGCAACCTTCTGACAAGCAAAGTCAACGGGGAAGCAAGACTCATTTAACAACCAGGTTACTAACTTTGCAACTGCAGTGGTTCACTTAACGGCCGTGACAAGAAATTGTCAATTAATGCTCCATTTAACAATAGAATTTTTTGGGCTCAATTGTGGTAATAAATCAAGGATTTATTTATTTTGTGCAGGCATTTCAAGCCTGCACAAAAATCGATCAATCTGTCTCTGCACTTTTAGCAAACAAAACACCAAAAACCCTAACACAAGATACATTTAGTCCTAAATCAACCCCCCCCCCACACCCAGTAGTTTATCCTGGCCATACAAGGCACTCCTGGCTTTTCCCAGGAGCCTCTAATCAGCTGGCTACAACAGAGGCCCCTTCCCTAATTTCCCTGCTGCTGAGGGCAATGAAAAACCAGCAGCTCCCTGCTTTCTCTTCCCTTTCAAGGACCCACAGCTTAAGACCATTGGTTTCCCTCTGCAATTAGCAGAGAGGGGGGGCGGGGGAGAGACTGAGCAATGTTGTTGAGAGGGAGGGGACCTTTTTTCCTTCCTATTTTCTCCCCCCCCCTCCACAATTCCTATGCTTGAAGCCATCCTTTCTCATAATGGAAAACCAGCAATCTGTAATAGATTGTTAGACGGAAGAAGGAGGCCGATTCCCTTCCCAGCAAAATTGCTCACCGCTTTTTGAAGAAAGGGGAATGGACAAGTGACCCTGTATGCACAAATGATACCTACCCCCCCCCCTGTAAGGGACAGTCTGGTGTGTAATTAAGATGAGGTATACAACGCACACATATGTGCAAACTTAACTAGAACCTTAGTTATAAGTAAAGATATTTGGAAATAAGGTATTGCTAGTTCAGGAACTGATTTTAAATGAAATTCCATCTTCATACAACTATTAATCTCTGATTATTTCAGCCCCCCCCCTTTTTTTAACTTCAGCAATATGATGGGAACAGGCTTACACATCTTGATTTGCAGTTGTTGTAAGACAAATAAGAACTGGGAATCTTAAAAGAAAAGAAAAGAAAAAGAAAAGTTCTGGGACAAGCTCCTCCCTAAATCAAACTCTTTAACATTTTCACATTTATTTCTGGGAATATTATCCTTAAACATTTTAGCTCTTCATTCCTGAGTTTCTAATTTTCCTTTTTAGATAATTCCTTTCAAACAATTTTTGCTAGTCCGCTTTCATCTGCCTTGATTTATGATCCAGGCCTCTTCCTCCCTCCCTCCAATTCGCCTTTAATTTCTTACTGTCTGTTGAGCTGTTTCACTGCTGTTTATTTTGGGTTTTCCCTCTCTCTTATTTCATTCTCATCTTCTTCAAAGCATCAACTTGAGTTTTGCGGTAACCATTTAGGCATCTGGCTTTACTGGTATATTTGGGAACGCATGGTCAACATTCAATATTACATATTAATAAGCAGAGTGACTCTGGAATGTTAAGCATAGTTGGGTGGAAACATTTTTACCGTCTGATAAGGAATATATTCAACTAGTTTTAAGTAACTTATCCTACCAAATAGAAAGATCAGGAGGTGATTAGAAAAACCAGGAGGAGGAGGAGGAGGAGGAGGGGAAACATGTTCAGAATTGATACACACCAAGCTTTTGAACTGTCTGGGTGGTTTGGAAAAGAAATCACGAGATAAAGCTATTTAAGCCTTGCACTTAAGGAACCGAGAGGTCCAATTTTTTAAGGAAGGTCTCCTCAAAGTCAAACAATTGTCCAGCCAAGCCAGGAATGTCAGCCCAGATGTTCCTTAATCCCTTTTTTTGTGTGAAAAACTTATGTACCTAGAAAATGTCAAATGAGCTAAGATGGTGGATATAATTATGCATTGAAACTATATAAAATCAAGGGCAACTTTTCTGCTTATATAGCATAAGGAGGGGATGAGGTTATGTCTTGTCTTGGGGCTCCATAGATAAAAGGATCTGAACAGTGGTAATAAAAAGGGGTCTTCCTCCATGTAGACAAATGCTGCCCCTTGGAGTGGTAAGCAAGTAGTTAGCTACCAAGACCAACGGTTCCCACCCTTTAAAACGGGGGGAACGATTTGCAGCCTTCAGCCCATTTATACGGCTTTCATATGCTAGACCTTAAATTGAAATCACCCCTGCAAGAGGTAGTAGATAAAGTTACCTGTATTTTTCCTGTAGAATAAACGAGGGAGGGAGGGAGGGAGGGAGAGGGAGGGAGGGAGGGGAAAGGACTGAGATTTGGGCTCTTCCCCAATTCCCTGGTTGTTTCAGTCCCACCAGAAGTTTAATCATATATGCGCATTAGAAGACTCAATTCTGTCAGCAAAGCCCTGGAGAAAGGGATACACTGACACAGAAGCACAACACAGCTCTCGCTCTACAATGTAGCAGAGAACTATTCATTTTGGACTTGGCCTGTGAAAATTAGCATGGTTTTTTTAAAAAAAAATACCCCTTAATTTTTGCACCCTTGCAATTTGTGGCAACCTGCTCATGTGCAAAGATTCCCAGTGCATCTCATGCCATTTTAATTTGCTTCACAGTCTCAAGTGCCAGAAAGAAATCAATACAGCTGCAGCAAAGGGGCTTCGGTGCCTATTTAACTACATCAGCAGCGTTAACTTCGCCACCAGGACAATGGGGTGGCAGGAAGAAAGGAGGGCAACGCAGCACACTCCCAGCTAGCTAGATATACGGCCACACGGGACTTTTAAGAGAAAATTTATGTCTGCACACACCAACATATTTGTCTGAACTTCATAAGGAGCCCTATGTTAAGTTACATCTATTTACTGTTAATGGATGCTGGCGTATCTGCTAATTAGATAATTCTTGCAGATAATTGCCAAGGGCTAATGAATGCATGTTGCTGGGAGAGGGGAGGAAATGGAAGAAGCTGTCGCCAAGATGGAGTCCTCATTAAGAAAAATGAATTTGGGGCCTTCAAAAGTGACAGGCATTTATTTGTAATTTCTACTCAAAATTCAATAGTAAGGGGAGAAGCCCGTGCTTCAGGAGTCTTGCGTGCCCACAGATTTGAAATTCTGTTTTGTACAGAAAGTATGCATACCAAAGATGGGGGGGGGGAGATTATTTCCAATTGTTTAGAAAGAAACAATGGAAAATATTTTAAATAGGAGGCCACTAAGTAGACTAAGCTCATTTTTCTAGCACCAACAGCTTGCCAAGTTTCAGCTTTTAAGATATTCTGTCTTTATAGAGGTATTGATATACTTTTATCAAACTACTACATCTCCTTAATAGCTAATCTAGGGGACTCTTTTGTTTGGAAGATACTGAAAAGAGAGGCAAGTTTTGGAAGTATCACATTAACAACTCAAGTGCTATTTATAGGAGCTGGTGTTTCATTAAATAATATATCCTGAACTGCAAAACAGGAAAGGAAATAAGCTTTGCTGTGAACTCCGCATTTATGTATGCATTAGGTTTCTCCGGCATGCAAACCCTCTGTCTCTCTCTCTGGAGGAGGCCCATCTCCTTCTGCTGAATGTGAAAAGGGGGGGGGGGGATGGCAAGCTGGGGCAGTTTCAACTCCAGATAAAAAAAGCTTTTTGAAGTGTGCAGAATCTCCCAAACAAAGAAGTCTGTAATTATGGCAACATGTGTCTTCAGGAGAACATCATTGTGCTACATTAGCAGCAGCCCATGGGCAGCACCAATGGAATCCCCTCAAGAGTAGAGGGGGGGGGGAGAAGGGGAAGAAGAAGAAACTTCAGCAAAGTTGTAAGGTTTGCAAAAGGAGGGGAGCTGGTGTTCTGGAAGGAGCTTATTAAGACTCCGGAATCTGTTTCTGGATGATGAAGGCAGTAATTTCCCTTCCTCCCCCACCTCCCAGCAAGGGACACACCTTTTTTTAAGGGCCTGACCCTCCCCCAGAGAGAGAAATATGGCTCATCTCAGCCGCTTTTTCAGAAGAGGAGGAGGCGGCTGCAACTCCGCTTCCAAAACGTCACTCAAGGCGGACATGATTTTACAGTGCACAAACTAGAAAGCTGACTTTTTTTTTTTTAGAAAGAGGAACATTTCTTCCATGCTGGATTCCGAACAGAAAATGAAACTAAAATATGCCATTAAAAAGAAGAGGGGAGGGGAAGAGGCACACACCACACAAACACACACACACACAGAGGAGAATCGGCGTGACCATTTGCTCCCTCCCCCCCTCCCCCCCGCACTGGGCCATGCAAGTCTTTAATCTGATTACGGCCTAATCCCGCTTTCTGCCCAGCTGCTCCGTCCTCGCCCTCCAAGCGGGGCCTGGTGGGAAGAGGAAACTTCTCCGTTTCTGCAATCCCCCCTCCCCCCTTCCCGAAATCCTGTTTTCCTTCCTGGGAGGGGGGTGTTGGGGGGAGGGGGGCAAAGAGAACCGCCATCCAAGCAATTCGTGCTCCTACTTTTTAGTGCAATCCAGGAGGATCCCGGTGAAGCGCCTCTCCCCGCAGCTCAAGGTGACCACCAGGGTATCGTTGACCATTTGCTCCACGAGGACGGGCAGCCAGGAGCCGACCTGCAGCTCTTTGGTGTCAGCCTCCTCCATGCTTTGGCGAGAAACTCCCGGCGGCGAGCCTCGGTTTGCAGCTGGAGTGCGGCGGCGGCTGCGAGAGATCCCAGGCGGCCTTGCTTGGGCAGGCTCCCCCTCCCCCCCCCACCGCCGCCGCCGAAGCTGCCGCCGCCGCCGCCGCTGCTGGCGCTGCTGCTCTCGGGATAGTTAGAGTGGCCGCTCCGATGACCTCATGGCTCCAGGCTCCCCCTCGGCAGGGAGGCTTCAGGAGGTGCGTTGACGTCACAATGCTTCCCTCCCGGGAACCTTCCACGGCGGAGTCCTGAAACAATGGGCGACATTAGGGGGCTGGAGGGGCCAGAAAGGCGTTTGGGCTCCCTTTCCTCCCCCTCCCCCTCCCCCGCCAAGCGAGTCCCCCTTTTAGGGACGAGGCTCCCCGCCTGCCCCGCACTTGGGCGCTCCAGAAGCCCCCCGCTTACGCTCCCAGGGGGGCTCAAGCGATCATCCAGGCTCAACTGCTTCCGTCCCGGTCCTCGCTCGCTTGACAATCCAGCGCGGCAGAGATGAAATTCTGGGCACGCTGTTGGTTCAAGCCCGCGGGCTGCCTCCTTTCCCCTTCTTCCCGTTGCAAAGGGGAGATTCTACCTGGAGCGGCTGGGTGGGCGAAGCGCAGGCGCCGCTCGGCAGCCACCTTTTTAGCGACCATCCCGAGTAAAGTAAATGTTGTTTTCTTCCGTCACGTGGCCCTGATGGTGGCTACTGACAAACCATCTTTCTGGTCTTGCCAGCAAAACACAGGTTAGCTGTGGATCCCCAAGGCCAGCCCAGCCTTCTTCTGTTTCAGCCAAATTTGGAGTGGATCCATTTTAACACTTCCTCTCTGTGTGTGTGTGTATGTGTTCGTCTGTCTAGATATCTGTGTGTCCCATGTATGCCGGTACAGCGTGTTTGGAAAGAAATCCGTGGATTTTACTTCCAGTATGCACCGGGTTGTAGCTTTATCCTACTTACTCCAGA